TTATTATCCAAAGAAACATAATTAATTAATTAGAAAATCCCACGGCTTCGTCGCTTTCCATAAATAACAATTTTTTTTTTTTCTTTCTAGAAGAATCAATTTTAATTTGGGCCGGCATTTCGGCGACAGAGGACCGCAAAATGGCGGCCGCGCCGAAATTGTAGTTTCGCTCGTGGTCAGCGTAGTGTTAAAACGGCCGCCGCGCCGTATTCCACAAGAGCGCAGAATTTCGATTACGCGGGAACGTCGCAGGACCCTCTCGTCCGCCCTTTCCCTCCCGTTCTTTTTTTTTACTCATTTTCAATCGCGCATATTACGGACAAGGGGAAATAAAACTAGGAGACGGACTAAAGCCCAAAAAAAAAACTATCGAGGGATGGTGGCGCGTTCCGGATTTCGGCGTGACGCAAGAATGAATATCAGTGATTGATAACTGAACCAATGGTGCCGGCAAAATTCCAATCATAATATACCGAAGCCTTGCTCGTCCAATCCTACTTTTTCCACGCATTGTCATTTGAACCTAGATTCACGTAAACTGAAATGGTTGGGTTAAGACAAGACAGCTCGTATAATAATAATAATAATAATAATAAAAATATACGTTTTTGTATGGAAGATAACAAGGGAATCATTTTAATAGTAAGAGACAACAATTTGTGTGGTTGTATGATACGAGATTAGCGTCCAGTAAGTAGTTTATTTTGGCGGTTTAGTAATTTGGGGCCGGTTAAGGAATAATTCCAGTCACGTGGCGGTATTTAAAGTGCTCGTGAACTGTACAGCGCTGGCATCTAGCGGGCCGGACGGGCATAATTTGGATAAGGTGGACTGACAGTGAGAAATAGTTGAGTCCCATCCGGCCGCTGCTGACAGAAAATGTTATTAGTGTTGAGATGTAGAAATGGCATTTACGAGGATCCTGCGACACTCCAGACGGGGCGCCCACACATCCTGCGCTCACCTCCCGCCTCATCTGCCAACGGCAACGCCCGAACGCGTTCGAACTCGATCATCCGCTTGTCCGATACACTGCGGATGTATTTATCACTCATAAATTCGCGTGGATTCCAAGAAAGCCACAGTCGGACACGGCGTCTTGCTACGAGACGGTTCCTTTCAAACGTCTGGGCCAGTACAATGTGCTTCTGACAACCCATTCTTGTCAAAACTCCCTGATTCTTAATTGCTTGTTTACCAGACCAAACCTTCTTTTACGATATTTTTGCTATTTAATTTCTCCACACGACTTCTGCCGCGATCTGTTCTCGGCACCCGTTTCACTTTCAAACTCACCCCTTTTAAAAATTAAACTCGCTTAATTCCTAAATTATTTCATTTCTTCTTAGCTTTTGATCTGAATCTAGGATTCACGTTCTATTAATTTTTTACGCGAATTAATTAAAATCCTCAAAACCCCCAGGCATCGTATACAGTTCTATATTAAATAAAAGCTAAATGCTAAGGCTTTTTTAGAATTTATAAATTGAGGAAATTAAATTTGCTTAGGAATGTATTGAATCGACTTTCGTAGTTTGCGATTTTGAAAGTATCTTAGTGACAGTGCTTTCGATGTTGAAGTAAAGAAATGGGTGGGTTCGGAAAGAGACAAATGGTGTGTCACTGTTAGTGAAAAATGCGTCTCCTTTTAATTGGTTTATCAGAGAAGCACCTGCTTTCCGACTTAATGATCAGGAGGAGGAAGCTACAAGCGTCTGCGAGGCAAATCGTATCCCGTGAGTTTCGATCGCGTTCCGTTTCGGGATAGCGTTCACGTTCGTATAGAGGCGGGGTGGCGAGGGTTAGTTATTTTCAAATCCTTATCACGAATTCCACTCTGGCCCGTTTTAACTGAACGACACCCTTTCCGGAGATTTATTGTTTTATTTTATGTATCAATTTTATAACACTTGCTTCTTTTGTTATGAGCCCGCCATTTGCCGGTTTCAATTTAAAACCACTTTACTGGCGCTCAACGCCGAAGAAAAATTTACCCAATTCCCAATCTTACCAGAGGCTCTCTCCGCCACCCATTACTCTTATTCCAATCTTTCACTTTAACTCGCGAATTATTAACGGTTCCGCGTTCCTCCTCTACTTCAGTTTCTTTGTCCTCTCTACTGGATTTTTGGTTAGTTGTGTACCCCAGAGAAAATGGATATTAGGGTCTACATTTACCTATGCATATTAAGTTGTTAACACTTTCCGGGTCTCCAATATTAGCTCGTGGAAATTTGGTTTTGCCGGAAGGTCGATGACAAAGGAGGCAACGAAACGCATCAATCAACGGCCTATCTCCCATTACAGATGGACCTTCCGGTCGCGGACATCGCCGTTGGTGCGTTGTGTCGAATGCAGTCTTCAAATAAATCATTCTCTCTCCTCGGCTCTCCATATTCCGATGTTTTATTTATTAAACCCCATCGACAGCCAGAAATCCGTCAATAACCGTTGACGCTTGCTAGTCACAGACAAATTGTTACTAATCATCTGCTGGTGACGGTAGTTATCCTCTTCAATTATCACAAATTTCTCAATTTTTTTCATTTTTTATTTTTTACAACTTCATGGTATTATTAATGTTTCTAAACAAAACTAACCCTACATAACATTCATTCATTGACATTACAAAAAAAATTAAAAAGTTAAGCATAGAAGATCCATCACTAACCCATATAAATGATGTATAGAGAAAAGTGATGGGCAAACTTTTGGTATAAATATAACACACACTTTGTTACTACACTTCAATACTCACTGGATACAACAAAGGCTGTAGCTGATGTTCAAAATAAAATTAAAATCTATCACCAAGCATAAAAAAGCACCACAGAGTGTTAATGAGTCGATTCCACAAGTACTTGGAAGTTGAAACCAAAACTATGCTGAATTCTCTCTAAAAAACTATCTTTAGCTCTGTCAAAAGCAAGCCAGAAATTCTAACACAACTTAAGGATTAAGGGAGACTTTAAACATTTTTTTGTCATAACAGTTGATGCCATCCGCAGCCTTTTCTTTGGCTACAACCAAATTGATTACACCTCCAATGTAATCCTCTACAAGGCCCAAGTGAATAGAGTATCGCCAACAAAGGATTTAATTCACCCAATTTAATTCAGACTGCGTGGAGCAATCAATACGAATTCAGTTTCTGAATCACCCTGCCAGGAATCAAGAAACATTCACATAAGCACATGATAGAACAGTCATAATGAACCACACACTAAGTTGATGAGGAAGAAATCCATGACATTTTTTCTGCATTTAGTTTTAATTTATTATTATTAAACACAGTTCAATATCTGAGGTTCAGCTAAAACTCCAGTATCATCAGCAAACAAGAACATCCAGCAGCAACCTGGAGCATTCTGCATTGAGCAACCTTAACGGGTATTTTCAAAAACATACGTGACCAAACAATAAATAGAAGAGTAACTGCTTATTGAGCCTTTGAGACGATGAGTTCATTGCGGCATAATCATAATTAATCTCTAAGCCATCCCTTATAGGACTGAATCACAACACTAAGTCATTGAATTTACAAGATCAGCAATGACGGGGATGAAATGAATGTACGTAATTATAACTACCACCATAAATAAAAACCAATTGAAAGTTTATGGACAGAAATGATTTCTTTGTTTGACAATTGCATAATTATTATAATTTCACCTCAACCTCGTTCTTGATTTATGCTTAGATCATAATCTCTTAAGGAATCGATGGAGAAAACATCAACGACACATTAAAATTTTGATCTTTTTGACTTCTGGATACAATCTGGATCTTTGGAATCGTCTTAGACCATCTAAGTCTAGTGTTCGTTCTAGTTTTAGTTGTAAAAATAAATATATGTTGGAAAATATAATTTTGTGGAAAATGAGGTAGTGTATTTGAGTAGAAACACAATTGCGTAATTATAATTCCGAAGTTATGGATGGTGGAAGATTTGAGTTTGGAGTATTCAATACACGCGAAATACTGCAAATATTTTGCATATTGGAGGGACGTGCAAGGTCCCTCAATCCCTGGTATGTACAAGCCCGTTCCAAGAGTATTCGCACAATATTATCGAAGGATATTACTGGAGAAAACAGTCGAGTTGTCACGTATCCGAAATGATCGAAAAATATCTTTTTTTGGCTCAAAATGTAAGTAGCTTTCCGGCCACGACGGGGATTTTCGAGCCGCCAAGGTAAAACGCGCCCGACAAAGGAAACCTCTTAAGGGGCGCTCTGTAGATATTTTATGATCGACAACTCGCCGTAATAAATTCATTCTCTGGAAAATTCCAAGATTTCGCCCTCCACTCTAACTATTTCAATTGTGGTGTCTTTGCTGAAATGTTTCGCCAAACGGCCGCTGAAATCCTCAAGATTTCATGTGCCACTTCACCCCATTCCACCCTCAATGAATAAAACAGGTTTTCGTCTTCAAGACTTACTATACTCATAGTTTTCTTTTACTTTCAACGTAAATTCCGTAATAATTTTTAATAATAGTAAAAGTTAAATAATGTAATGTTAATAAAGTAAAATAGAGATAGAAATCGGATGGAGACATATATAGTAAATAATAATTGGTCGTTTGTCGCCTGAGAGGATTTGGGTTTCTTAATATTTGCCGATCGCGGATCTTAGTTTGGGGCCGGATTCGGAGGATACGTCATGGTTGGCCACATCGGGAATAGTTTTCAGTTTAGTTCGGAGTAGCGCCCTAGGGCGGCGGTAGCATGAGGGAGGCTTTATCTTGCTTCACCAGGGGATGTTTAACTTGATACCGCAATATCAACCTCAGGGCCGCAACGGTGGCCGCGATTCTTGTTTGATCGGGCGGGCCGAAGACAGAGGGCCAAAACGGGTTGAAGTTTTGGGGGCCGTTTAATCGCGACCGCGGCGTGCTAGGGTCGCTCTCCTTTCATTCCGATCTCCTCCGATATGGATTAAGACGGGCGGCGGATATAAATTTGAGAGAGTGGTCGCGACGCTACGGCGTATCCCAACTAGAAGAAGCAACAGGAACAGCAGGGTCGAGCGGGTCAGAAGGCGCACGCCTGTTACCGAACCACGCGGCAGAACTCCAGTTTCGAGCGACATTCGTCCAGTGTTCCTCTCAGTGTTCGGCAACGTTTAGTTTTCGCGCTTCCAATTTTCCGCGAACTTCACCTAAAACGAATTCTGTTAATCTATTTAAAAAAAAATGTAAGTAAATAAATCATTTTTTAATTTATTTATTTTTTCCTTTAAATTAATATTTGGTTTAGCGTGTAATAAACCGTAAACATAGAACACGCGCGGAAAATAAAATTAAAAAAAGTTTTATATCTACCACGATTCTACCGAATTTGCCTTCCATCACAGTCGATGATTAATGCTTCGCTTTTAATTACAAAATGCGAACAATGCGAACGTCACGTCCAGAGACCCGGGGGCCTAGTCTGTGTTTTGGTCCAAAAAAAGTTTACTTACGTGTTTCGCCAGAACTGTCAACCCGTTCTCGCCGACGCCAATTCGAAAACTATTATTTGTTCTGCCAGTTCAGAATTATGAAACTTATCGATTCTCGAAGCGAATTTCAAAAGCTGAAAACAATCGCGCCCGGATGTGTTTTAAACGTTCAATTCGTACCGCGACTTAGTGCGCAACACGATTTCCGACGGAAATTTCACCGGCAAATTAAAAACTCTTAAACCCATTCATGTAAAATGTAACGTTCATTTTGCAATTTTACGCCCACTCGATTTAATCAACTTTGTTATTCAGCAAAAACCGACAGATTAACTTGCACGCTCCTTTATTAAATAACGAATCCGCTCAAAGACTTTTCAAACAAAATTTAATCATTTCACCCCATAAATTGTTCAATTTTAAACAATAAAAATCCGTTGTAAAAATAAAACGCATTTTAGAATACGTTATTCTTATCTTCACCAGTTCAATCTATTTTTTTTTTACTTTATCTATTTATTTTTTTTTATACATTTCCAAATACTAAAAAGCTTTATAATAGCCTAGCTTTTGATGTGGTTTATTTAAAATAATTAGTGTACAGTAAAATTGTTTTTGCTTTTCTTTATGCCACTCGACAAATTTAATATTTTACATTCCATATTATACAAATATACGGGTGTAAAGTTAGCCATAAATTTCAAATGCATTCCATATATATATGTATAGAAATATGTATATCTTGGTTAATAGAAACGCCTTCATCCTACCAACAAGTTGGGAACTTCTCAGATATAACAACTCCTTCATAATATAGAATAGGAGCTCTGAGATACATAGTTATTGTTGGCAGACTTCTACGATGCAAGGTAGAAATTTCCAGATATATCAGCAGTCTCCTCGATGTAAAACAGACGCTCTCAGATACAATAGCTCAAGCTGATAGAGATCAATGCAAGATAGAGATTTCCAGATTTAACAGCTCATGTTGCCAACAAGTTGGCAGGCTGCACAATATAAAACAGAATCCTTGAGGCACAATACCTCCTGCTCCCAATAAGTTGGCTGACTTCATTGTATAGCACACAAGCTCTCAGATACAAGTGCTCATCTACAAATTTATTACGTCTACGATGCAAGGTAGAAATGTCCAGACAAATAAGTTGGTAGCCTCCACAATTTTTAATTCCTTCAAATGAAGATTGAATTACCTTTTCGCGTGAATTAAAATAATTGGGTAATTTTGAAATTATAGAAGAGATTGGGTTTATATTCATCTTTTGTACTCTCATTCGCTCATAAATTTCACACGGTAGAAACTTACATTCTTTTCAATTTAACGAACCTCGTTGTTCGGCAAAACATCCGGCGACTCTACTTTGCACCAGACTTTATTAAATAATAATCCGCCGCTTTATTTTGCTCATGAATTTTATTATCACGTTTATATCTTGCACAAAATGTTTATTTGAAATTGTAAACAAGGTCAAAAAATAAAGCCAAGGTTAAAAAAATAAGTGAGTGAATTTCAATTTGGATCGAAATTAACCAAGTACTGGATTAGAAAGTTGGAAAAATGGTTCTTTTACAATTAGGGTTCTGCCGGGATAATAATTCGATGATTTAGGGGTAATAAATTCCGACGCTACAGGGCGCACTTAACAAGTGCCAGGGGTTGATACGCAAGAATACGACTCCGGGTCTTGCCCTGAGTATTGAAGTTTAAAATGTCGTTACTCAGCCCGGACCGGGGTTGTTTTTGCTTGGCAATAAGGGCCGTCTCTCTAGAACTAGCTACATTAAAATGCGAAAGCCGCCCTTCGGTCCGATAGGGCACAACTGCCTGCAAAAGCGCACTTTTATTACCCATTAATAAATTATAGCAATAACCAGATTCGGAACCATGTTTTACCTACACCCTACCGTTGATGTTCAGTCAGATTTATTTTTCTACGATCTACTAAACAACGTTAACACCTTTAATTTACTTCCTATTTGTACAAAATTTTTACTCCAAAAAAGGAGTTTGATAATAAAGTGAGACTTGTCTTGGGTTTAGCGTGTTAATTTAGTTGAATTTAGGGGAGAGGATGCGTCGCAACGTCAGCAGGGAGAATGTTGTAAGATTGACATAATAATGATGTTTGATTGGATTTTCAGAAAGGATTTTGTTTAAATAGAAGTAATCAATCACTGTTCTCCAGGCGTGTCATTTCATTGACTGGCGTCAGTTCTGAATAACACCTGAGCCACGGATTGAGCGAGAGCGAACGATGGAGACGGGGTGGATAGAGGAGTTCCGCTGTAGACCCGATGTACCGTGTAAAATCCCCCCCATCCCACTTATAATTTCTTTAAATTCCACAAAGCCCGAGCGGAGGCTGCAGCGGATAAAACTCGCCCGTCGTTCCACTTAACTTTATTCATTATTCTGATATCCGTTTTAATTTTTCAATTACTTACTTCTCTTACGGCCGTTTAGTTTCGTTAGAACGCGAGCGGCGTTTTGCGGGCGAAATCGCGTCCCAATAAAGGCGCCGTCCCCCTATTATCGTGCCGGCTTTTTGTCCCCACGGATAAAAAGGCCGGTCTCCTTTCAATTTACAAAACCTTACGATTTTACGCTTTCCTACGTTTTCCCTACGCGGCCGTATTTCCTTTTTTTGTTGTTCGCCTTCGGCCTTATCTCGGCCTCGTTCCTCATTTTAATTCCTGCGCTAAAATGTTTTAATTCCGGGCGAATCGCAACTTAATTCGTCGACTCTCGTTCCACATGGACCGCCTTCCGGAAGTATCCCAAAACATTCCCGAGGAGGCAAGAAAACTCCCGGAAATATTTACGATATGGCAGACGGAGCCCAAAAAGGCCTTCGGGAAACGCGCCCCGCGAAGTGTTTTGCGTTTGGGGAACAAAGAAGCCCAAAAATGCTGTTCATTTTAAGACTTGTTGAACAATTAAAACTTTTTACTTCATAGTTTTGCGACCACGTTACTGAGTGGCAAGAATTTTATAATGCAAATTATGAAGGAACTACAAAACCGGATTCTGGGTTTAGATTCCCGTCGTTATGTAATATCGATTACTAATTTATTAACCCCACGGAATTAACGCGGAATTGGTACAAAATAGGGTAATTAATATGGAAGGAATTTAATATTTTTAATATCTCCATTACAAACACACTTATGTTATCCAAACCATTCCAACCAACAAAACTAGGGCAGAATCGTACTTCGACGTTGTAAGCAAAATTTCGCACGCGCTGAAAATTACGCTCCCGAGGAAACCACTCGAAATATAATTACCGGACGAACTATGGAAGAATTGCATTCGGTCGCGATGTAGAAAAATGCATGAAACTATGCGAAATTGTCCGACGCTCCCGTTTCCGGCGTAATATAAAATCAAACAAAAAGCGGCACAACTTTTTCGCCCTCGCGGTCGCCTTCCCGCACCCGTTACATGAATAAAATTACTCGAATAGCATTTGATTATAGCTACATTTATTTTCCTTCCTTTTACCTCATTTAATTAAATTCTCACGTTTTTACCCAAATGTTTCCACAAATTATTCTACAGGATGAACACGTTACATTTGTATCTTTAATTATACTAAACTAAACTATTTGAGGATGGTATAACTTTTTATTAATAAATATATTAACACTATCAAATATCATTAAGGTTGGGGTAAAAATCTATGGAATGTTTTAGGGGATAGGTTATAAAAAGGGGTTAAAGGAATGTTTGCGAAGGGGTGGTAGTCATGGAATCCAGATGTTGCGATAACTAACTTACTACTGTGGTTACGGATCGTCAATCATCAGGGAAAATATAGGGTTCAAATATAGGCAATTACCTCGGCAGAACTCTAAACTGCAAGAAAATTTGTGAATTTGTATTGGAACAACTTTATATTACAAGAAAATATCAATAATTATATTACCCAAACTCTAAATACACAGAAAACTCTGGAATCACACTTTTCTTATTCTAAATGATCTGATATTACACTGGAACAACTTTANTAAGTTGACACTTCCGCCCGGCGAGGAAAACATTGTATCGCGTAACTCATAATCAGTTTTACTTTAGAAACCGAACGTGTCAAACGTAAACCGCGCGCAATGTCTGTGATTTTTTTCGGTCTCTGTGAGTTTAAACCAAAGTAAAAATTTATTCGAAGTTGAGTTGGATTTACCCTATTTATTGTTCATGGAAAACGTCTTACGAGCTGCGCATTGCCTTCCGTTGTGGTGGAGTTAGAAGAGGGCTTGCTTCTCAACGTTTTTTTTACCTACCCGGCTCGCTAAGGGTATTACCGATCAAGAAGGTTACAAGATCAATGCATAATAATAATAATAATAATAAAGGATATTGGTAAACCGAAGAACGCTCATATAATTGAATTTGTAAAAAAAGTACCATAATGTTAAGGTTTTTATTATTTTCTTTTACTATTTATTATGTAATGTTTATTATTATTATAAAAATGTTTATTAATACTATTATTGGGTTGATTGGGGGAAATTAAATTGTGTTATTATTATTTTCCGGAATATTCCTAAATTCCTGCGCACGCGCATTCAAGAGTTGTGAGGCGCGCCTTTAAGCGTTCAACGCGCCATCTTTCAGAAACGCCGGTTCTAGACAGGAAGTTGTCGCACCTCCGCACCTCCGTGACGTCATCCGCCCAATATAAAAGGAAGGGGGGGAGGGGTGTCAACCAAAGGCTTGGGGGGGAAAATAGGTT